AAACGAAATCATTTTAGCCCAAATATCACTTAAGCCCATTAGGAAAATCCTTGTAGCCCAAATTCTTCGCCCAATTGGATTCCTAGGGATTTGTGCCCTACACTACTATTCATATATCAGCTCATTCTCTCTTCTCCTCACACTCACGCAGCCAAAAAAATTTGGTAAGGAAATCATCTTCCCAAGAATTGATTTTTTTTATAGAGAACTGACCACTATCCATTGTATTTCTGTAATTCATAGTGTTAATAAATTAGTTGTAAATAGTCAAACTTCATTTTCAACAACACATTTAAGTAAATTTGCAAGTGATATACACTGATTCACCACTCATTTTTATCCATTTGTAAATTAAACCATTTATAAATTCTTCCCATAAGGAGATAACATTGGCATCATTGCCCCCCACCTCCCACTTCCTACCCCAACAGCCGACAAAGCTAACAATTAAGAAGTTAAAAAGTACCTCAATTATCTTGAAATAGAAAAGTAATTGAACTTTGGACCTTGTTACACGAATGCCACGTGGTATTCTATCATTAAACAATTTAAAACATAATCAACTTTTTCATCCAATCATTTCCCTACACATCATTTTTTGGCACTTTTTGGATGTTATTTTATGGACAAATAGCATAATTCTTGATTTTTTGCCTTTTATAGTCGGAGGGGAATGCTTTTGTAGATTGGTCATGGTTTACCATTATAGCTTTCATACTTCATATTTTTCAAGCATGTAGCATATCTGGTAAATTACAATTCTATTATGGCACACAATTGGTCTATTATACACGATTTCATCCTTTTATCTTCACTAAGTAGGAAAAAGATGATGGGTTCCTTTGAGGCACCCTTAATACGCAAAAGTAAACCAAACTCGATAGTACACCAAATAGAAGTTTAGCTTCTCGTTTCTTGATATTGTGCAATATTGTCCAATCTACCTTACTGATCATGTAATCAAGGAAAATGAGGGTTTAGCATGACTAAAGCGCTGACTCTTGCCATAATTATACACTAGTCAGGGGGATGAAGATAAGAATATTATTGAGTGCAAACACAATTCTTTTGATGTGTTCTTATTCTTTATATGCTCTAACAATTCTTTTTCGATTGTTCTCTTTATGACAAATATAGCCGTGTTCGCTTTAATTCTCCACTTTTTTAGAACCACAATTTTGTCGGGCGGTATCATGTCACTTCCATCAACTACTTCCCACGGGTCTTTCTCTTATAGATAAAACTCTATGCAAGATTGTCATGTGATACAATTTTTTGGTTATTAAGCTTTTTCATTACATCTACCACTTATAATCTGTCTATTATGATTTAATTACTTTCTCGTAATCAAGCAAATTTTATAGAAGCTTCAGAATATTCCTTTGTACATGAACTCCAAAAGCTCAAAAATTTGTCTATGATTGCTTGCTCTAATATCAAATTGTTGAATTTAAATATTAAAGAAACAATTTAATTAATTAAAATTTGTGTAATATTTTGTTACAAAAACATACTTTCTCTCACCAAACACCAATACACACCACCTCACTATACTCACATTCTTTTTCTATTTCTTTAATCCCACTACGCTTCTCAGCAAACTCTGATGGAATAATCTTAGTATAAGTAGGTGCAGAAATTGTAAATTTTTGTAATTGCATAAAATCTTTACAATTCTTTTTCTTCTTTAATCCCACCACGCTTCTCAGCAAACTCTGATGGAATAATCTTAGTATAAGTAGGTGCAGAAATTGTAAATTTTTGTAATTGCATAAAATCTTTACTAATCATTATACTTCCATTATCTTTTAATAAAAAACTTAATCCTAAAATTAGATCTGTATTTAAAGATAATTCTCTTATCCAAACTGAGTCTTTAGGTAAACTATATTCTGTACTTCTACCGCAATTAGTCTCAAAACTAATTCTTGCTGGTTTTAAAATATCTTGATAACTATAAAAATTTCCATCCATTTGTTGAGCTTCTATGGGTTCTTTTGATTTTATTATATATTTTTCTGGTATGATTCTTTTATTAATTATACAATGACTACAACCTGAATCTATCAAACCTAAACACATTATTTCATAATTTTCTATTCTAACATAACATTTTACTTTAATACTTTTTAATTTTTCTGAATTACAAAAAACTTGAACCAATTCTGGTTCAGGAATTATTTCTGAGTTTTTTCCTTTTTTAGAGGATTCCATTAATTCTAATTTTTGTAAAATATACCTTTGCATATCTTCTAAATTTTCTATTCTTTTTCTTAATATTTTAATTTCTGACAATTCTATCTGAATTGAATTAATTTGCTTATCTTCTTCCAATTGTATTAAATTTTCTTGTAATAAACATTTTTTACATGCCTCTAAAAAACAATCTTTACATTTTACTCTTAATTTCTTACTAGGATACCATTTACATATATAACATGGTATGTTGTCTAAACCTGTTTCTGTTAACCAATTATGTTTACATTCTATATCCATTAATTCTAATTCTTCATCTGAATCTGATAAGTTTTTTAAATTTGAAAATTCTTGTATAAAATTTTCATAATCTGATTGTTCTTCTGGATTATTATTATTATTAAAATCTTCTATTGAGACAATACTGTAAACTGATTCTTTATCTGAAATATACTCATCAATTTCTAATAAATCTTCATTTGTGCATTCTATAAGAGTACTTCTTTTATCATTATTATTTATCTTTTTAGGACAAGTTCTGGCTAAATGATCTATTCCTCCACAGACATAACAGTTTAACTTATTAGGATAATTCCTTTCTGGTTTGAATTTTCTAACATGTCTGTTTTCATCTAAATATGGTTTTCTTCTATTAGACTTTCTTAAATAATATTTTTTCCTAATAGGTCTATCAAAATTTTTCCTATCATATTTTCTTTTACTTTTTTCTCTAAACTTATTTCCATAAGTTTGTGGTGTAAAGATATCTTTGCAAAATTTATAATCTGTCTTTTTTAGTTGATTCTGAATTTGTAATTCAACACATTTATCTTCTAAACATTTCATTATAAATTGAGTTCTATTTCCTATACTCCATAAATGATCTTGTCTTTCTATAACATTTTTATTTTCATTCCATCTTTTTGTTATTTCTAATCCTAAAGGGCCTGGTAATTTATGAAATAATTTTTTACCTAATTCTTGATTAAAAGTATTTCCTGAGATAGATACTAAATAGTGATATTCATTTAAAAATTGTTTTACTTCTTTACCTTTAGTCCATCTATTTAAACTAAGTTGTTCTAAATTTCTTATAGCCTTATGTTGAATTAATAACTGTCCTGTATTAGGATCTGCTCCTGTTAATAATTCATGTATTTTACTAACAAAATTATAAGGATTATTTCCTAATGCAACCAATGATTCAAATTCTGTCTGTTTATCTTTCTTAAAAGCTTCCCATGTAGCTTTAGCACTTTCTCCTAAAAATGTTTCTAGATATCTATACATTTCTAATGGTTCCATATTATCTGCTAATCTAATATAATGACCTATTATTGTATTTTTCCATACTTCTATTATATTATCCCAAGTCTGAGGGTCATGTGCTGTAATATTTAATATTTGTGGTTTATGTAATGTCTGAAATTCTATTTTAGGTTCTAAAGGTCTAACTTTTCCTCTAGCTATATAATTTCTTTCTTTATCATTATAATCTGTATAAGCAATTCTAGGAGGATAACCAGCTGTATATTGATATGTTTCTGGTTTAACTTGCATAACTTCATCTGCCAATTCTTTATAATTACTTATTTCTGAAATTTCTGACTTATTTTCAATTTCTTCTATATTAATTCCTACTCTTATATTTTGATAATTATCATAATATAAATATTCTTGTTCTTCTATTTGTTTATTTAAAAACAAATGATCTTCTAATCTTAAAAGTTCTGTAGGAGATAAAATCATTCCTAATTCTTTAGGATATAAAATTTTATCATCTATCTCTGTTTCTACTGTATTAAGAAAAGGTTCTTGTTCTTGTTTTTCTTCATTAGTAGTATTAGATTCTGTATCAAAATTATCATTTCTATTTATAGTACTGTAATTACCAAATCTTAGACTAGTCCTTCCGTACAAATCTTTATATGTTATAGCTTCTTGAGGAGTTAAAACTTTTTCTTGAGTTTCTAAAAACTTATCTAAATCCCATTCTAATCCTGCTAAAATTTCTGAATCATAGGTTTTAGGTTTAATCATTTTTATTCCTTTACTACTCATTAAATTTACAACTTTATCTATATAAACTTTATATCTTGTTTGAGAATTATTACTACATCTTCCCAAAAATCCTATGCTTATTAATAAATTTTCTCCTGAAGTTACATCTTCATATCCATGTGTCTGAATACCAATTTTAATTTTTTCTGAAAAATCTTTTATTGTTAATAAAAAATCTGGATTACAATATATAATTCCATGATTATTATTCATATCTATCTCCGTACTAGCTATCATACTTTTTTCTATATTTTGAATTCTTTCATCATAAATAGTTAATAAAACTTTATTACCTAAATTTTTTCTCATTAATCCTTTAATTCCTATAACTATTAATCCTAAATGCATAAATCTATAATGCTTCTTTCTTA